GTTTCAAGGTGGGCATCAACTACCAGCCGCCCACTGTAGTTCCTGGTGGAGACCTGGCCAAGGTCCAGAGGGCTGTGTGCATGCTGAGCAACACCACTGCTATTGCAGAGGCCTGGGCTCGGCTGGACCACAAGTTTGATCTGATGTACGCTAAGCGTGCCTTTGTGCACTGGTATGTGGGTGAGGGTATGGAGGAGGGAGAGTTCTCTGAGGCCAGAGAGGACATGGCCGCTCTGGAGAAAGATTACGAGGAGGTTGGAGCTGATAGCCTGGGAGATGAGGATGAGGAAGGAGAGGAGTATTAGAAAGCTTTATTGATCTCTGATCCATGCTGTTTTATTAATGTCAAGAAAATAAAGTTGTTCATTGACTGAACCTGAACCTATGCTTTCCTCTCGTCAATGAATACACTGTTAAACATGACCTATCTGCCTAGATGGGTTGTATGTATTCACTTGCTCAGTTCAATCAAAAATGTTTTCACACAGATGCTATTGCTCAATTCAGTCACTTGGAGGCAGTGGTGTTTAACACGTATATATCTGTTCTCTGAACAGACCAGGCATGGCAATCTAGTTAAATGCTAGATTAATCACTACATGATTTCTCAACATCAGATGATTCAAGAGTACCATTTGCATATCTTACATTGACTTATTTAAGATTGGATGTGTGCTTTACGTGAGAAGAACAGAGTCCTAACCCCGGCCTGATCTCAAATAGGGTGTGGTATTCACTCTGGCCCAAGGGAGGGATAGTAGTGAGGCGGGGGTGGGGCTCTCATGCTGGCAGACAGGTGGTGTTTCAAAAGACTTAGTTCTGCTGTTCCCAGACTGGAAAATGAATGAAACTGAAAGCAACACATTAGGAACCATGTAAAGCCAACATTGAAAAGGGCTACATAGTGTTGTAAGGAGATGAGTGTTTTCACAGGTGTTGTAAACGTTTTTTTATTTTCAGTTCTGTAATCATTCACCATGTTCGGTTACAAATAAATGCTTTTTCTTGACATTAAGCAGATATTTAATGTCATTAAAACAGAAAAACAAAATGGATTCTACAATACAAAAACATACACAGCTCTAATTTAAAACCCAACAGGAACATACAGTACTGTGACTCTCATAAGCTTCCTATTGCCCCCTTTTCTACAGCTCCCAAACCAAAGCAGCTAATTGACAATAATGCATATAAATCCCAGTGAAAAGAGAAAGCTCCACAGTGTAGTACACCACAGTCTCAAATGCAATTAGCTGAAATGTAACTGGACATGCTTTGGAGTCTGAAGAGACAGAGCAGCAGCAAGATGAAAACAAAAAGACTGGCTTAATGTTGGATTGCAGTTTTCTGTTGAAACTTGCAGATATTAAAACAATAATACCAGTAATCTTCACACGTCTGCTGCAGTGTCTCAATCAAGTTTAAGGCACAGTGGAGAGAATATTCAGTTTGTATGTTATTAACTTTCCAATAAACAACAAAGAACTGCATCATCATCTGGGCCTTCGGTCAGTTCATTGTAGAAGTTCTTCACCATCTCAAGCTCAGCACTTACATCTAAAAACCCAAAACATATTGTTTCAAACAAGTGGATTCATTTAATACACTAATGGAAATGTATTTTAAATGAGGATGAAATGTACAGTATTGTTTGTGTTGTGTCTCCTTCACCTGGGATGGAGACACCAATTGTTTTGAGTGACAGCTGGATTGATTCCATGTTTTTCAGCGTGCCTTCTCCTTTCATTTCTTTTGCTCCTACATCAAACAGAAACATGTTGATATCAAAATGTGTAGAGGTGTATTTCTATGTCTGTAGTGATCTTCTGTCTTCCTGTCAGAGCATTCTTTCATGGTCTCCTCCATTGTTGTTGTCAGGCTGCTGGAGATCCTTCTCTTACGCTCACGGAGGAGTTTCTTGAGGTTTGTTTTCATCTTTTCTTCCTTAGAGAGAGAATGTGAAGCAAATATCAACATCTTTGAAAAAGAACATGTTACAGACTATGCTCATCTTTCCCTTGATTCTTTGTTCCAGATTGTACCTGGAAAAGCAGTACATGATTCAAAGTGATAGCACGTGTTCACCAGCAGGGGGTGCACTTTGCCCAATATCAGAATATTCTATTGTCATCTTGAGAGTTCCCTCATGAACTGGGACAGGGTCCGCTTTACAGCTGCAGGTCATTCTTCAAAGCCATCTCCAGCTCATATTGAGTTATTCCAGTACAATGTATATGAATATGCTGACTGATCAATATGTATTCTATTGATCACCCTTCCACTACAGTCTCCCTGGCCTGGACAAACATGTTTGATCATGGACTAATGAATAGGGTCTTTGACCTCTTGAGAAATGTCAGCTGAAGTTTGACATTTCCGCACTCCTTCTTCCTCATCTCCTCCTCTGTGCCAAGTGGAAATGTTTTGATGACCCCGTTGAATGGTTCTCTTTCTCCTTCACTTCTAAAACGTATGAACACAAAGAAATGCTTACATTCAGAAGGCCTTACCACATTTGTATTTCAATAATGTATTTCAATGTATTGTAAAACACAATTGATCCAACACAGGGTTTGATGTGTTTAGTAAGTCATTTCTTACGGGAAGGTCTTCTTCAATTCCTCCTCAATGCTGTCAGTCAAACATGAAGTTAGCTTCATGTTGATGTTTCTTCATTCCCCTTCTCTTGGTTTGTGGATGCCACCATTCTCAACTCCACACTTCAGTGACCTGTGAAGTGCACCACCTTTCTTTGTCTGAAACAACACCGAATGTTGGAAGAGACAGATCCATATTTTGTGCTAAATGAGTCGTTTTGATTTAATTCCAACTGAAATACTTACAGGATAAAGGACCGACTTAAAAGCTCCCATGTCATGCTATTCTGGTTATTACCCGTCCCCTTGTGTGTTATGAAGGTTTTTATGCATGTAAACGGTGTGCAGAGTCAAAACCCTCAAAGTACACCCTGTAGCGAGTAAAACTCTAATACAGAAAATACCTCCCCAAAACGCCTCGTTGGAGATACGTCACTGCCCATTTGAGTCTTCCATTTAGTTCCGGGAAGAGCTATGGTCACACCCAGCGGCGCTGGCCGCACCCTCTGCCAGCCTAACATTTACTGTTGGAAGCTCTGGTTCAGTTCACAATCATCCAGTCATGCCACTGCCAAGGACCTGTTTCCTGAAATGTGAGGAGAAATCTGAGCTGTTTGTCCTACCGACGGAAGAACCACGACGAAGTCAGTGGTTGAAATTTCTTTTTAACACTGTTCCTTCAGAGGTTCGAAGAACCGGCATTTCACAGACGAAAGCTTCCAAAACATTGCCCAGTTTGAGGCCGGATATGCACAGCTTGTTTGGACCGTTTGGAGCAGGGGAAGATTCGGGTACACAACCTGTAAGTTTGCATTGTTATTTGTGTATTTATCAAACAAGACAGTTTAAATGTGTAAACTGTGTTGGACTGCTAAGCCATTGACACAGTGCTAACTGTGCTAACTAAGTTGCTAGCGTTTAAATATATCAACTACAATGTCAGCAGATGGCCTTACATGTTTGTCATGGCAAGAGAATGTCTGCAGTCACACACACGGAATACTCATACAGTATACTCCGGGTGATTTACCGTACATTGTGACAGTACATGTACATACTGCATGTATACCTAACGAGGCTAGCTATACATGCTAGCGGGAAACATTGTATGACCGAACGTAGCAGACTACCCGTAGAAGAATGCAATTATAAACACGTTATTGCTAGCCTAATATGAACCACTAGCTTTTGTTCATAGTAGTTTTATTACACTCCATTATAGTTGCCGTTCCTCCAAGCTAACGTTCCTATCGTGTTAGCTACCAAGGTAAACAAAGCTAGGTTAGCATATTAGCAGGCAAGCTGTTCATTAGATAGATCCACACTCCTAGCACAACTACTACTAACGAATCTAAAACAACGAAGTTTCTCTAATATTTTGTGATTTGCATTTGATTTCGTCCAGCCAGGTCCTGCCGGACAATGCATGACTGGACTACCACACTGATGCATCGTCCTAAAAAGCCCCGGCTGCTATAGGCAAGATGCCGACAACGGGGAGTAATTGACGATATACCGTGTATATATGTATATTTACGTTCATTTTGTACATTTCTAAAAATAAAGTTGAATGGAAATACTTAGTAGGCCTATCCTTTCTTCCCTGAATTATTTGCTCCTATAATATATCATTCATATATAGCAAACCATGATTTGATTTATCATCAAACAGTAGTAGTTTATAACGGGTAAAAATAACTTACTCTTTGTTATGACCGGCTCGTAGGCCACAACGGAAAGACAAGGAGACATACACGAGTTTACAAAACCACGGCACATTTATTGTGGTAAATGCAGAGATAGGTGGTCGAGGGGAGAGGATCACTGAGCTGCTTTGGAGAGAGAGAGGGGCCGCCGTTTGACTCCGGGCAGCTGGCTAGCACCTCGGATCCGGCCAGGTGTCCGTGATCGCGCTGATTAGCCTCTTCAGCTCCACCCCATCGTAAGACAAAGGCCCTGGGGCCGTCACACTCTTCTATAACAACAGTTGTAGGTACAGTTCGGTTAGTTGGCATATAAAATATACGGCTGTACCGACGCCATTATAAGACTGATGTTCGGCTGAGAGCAGCCGGAAAAAGCACTGTTAGACATGGGCGGAGCCTCTCTGGTGGTTGACTAATCAGAACAGAGTGGCCGAGCTGACCAATCGGAGCACACTAGGCTCACAGGGAGGGGGGGGGCAAGAGCTCCAACGAGTCGTTTAGTGGAGAGAGTGAATACTGCTGAATACACATGCTTGACAGAGATGCTGTATGCGAAACCAATGTGAGTTTGGAAAATTGCACAGTATAAATCTATTTTAGTATACCTCAACAATGTAATTATGATCAGTGGAAATGGCCATGACATGGGCCCTTTAAGACTTCTTCACATGAACTGTTTGATGTTTTAACCCCCCCACTGAGACATCTTTCAAAAGCCATAAGGGTCCATGGGTTCCCTGACTTGATCAAGTTCATGACTCAGCTTCTCTTCAAGTCCTATGGACACAGCCGTCTTTATGTCAGCCTGAAACCATACACAACACATTCATTAGTTAAAGCAATACAACCATCATTCAATATGGGGCTTTGTGTTTCAAGCAAAAAATACAAAAGCTTTGAGTAAACTGTAGCAATGCATCCTCTCTGAAGCAACACACACTCAGCTCATCCAATACCTTGTTGGCTCCACGGGTAACATCACATGTGAACAGTCTTTCTTTGACTTTACCATTTGTACACAACATGTTAGTGTATGCAGCTTACTTCTTTTCTATGAATGTTATTATTTCTGTCAATATGAAAGACAGTGAAAGATGTTGTTACTTGATGTTCCTCTCTCTCTGCTGCTGGCTGCCTGAATCAGAGAGAGAACCCCCAGAGCTCCAGACACATAGTTCCATGTCTGCCAGTTGTTGAGATCTTGCAGGAATTCCTGTAAAAAATGTAACATACTTAATTACATTCTTGACTTTACATGTTATACTCAATTAGTATCTCTACATATTTATTAGAAGAGATCAAAGCATTTTCATTTTGTCATTCCTGGCTCACTGATGGAGAATTGAATCACATGTGTCATCTGGATCCAGACGTTTCTTTTTCATCAACTCTTTGGAGCTCACTGTGAAAACTTTGAAACATTCCTCACTGAATTGTTTCAACAACAAAAGAGTTTCAATATCAAAGCAGGTTTGCAGTTTGGGACAATATTTGTGTTTTTGTATTCAATATAACTCACCTTAACGTCTTTTAGTTTGCTGAATTCTGCCTTCACGTCTATCTTGGCTTGCTCGTTTTGTTTTAGTATCAGAGCACGAACATCAGCTGCTGACCTATAGGAAAAGATTTGTATTTGAAGAATGACATGAACTGCATATATATTCCAGGATATGATATCACTACGCATCTCCATCTTGCTTTCAATGACCAATGATCACATAGCTTCATCCAGCATCACTAAGTGTTTGTGAAGCAACAACATTAGGACAGAAATAAATGGCTGAGATGTTGAGGAATCAATGCAGGCATTTTAGAAACACGGATACTGTTATGATCATGGATACCCTGGTTGATCCTGTTTCAAGTGAACATTATATCCCTGAATACCATCCAAACCAGGATACTAATGTGCCTGTAAACGTAATCAATGTTTCCATGGTTTCTCCTCTTGGCCATCAGTGTCTAAATTGGATGGTACATTTAACTGTGTACTTTTGCATCTTAAACCACTTACTGATCATCTGAACCTCCAAGACTATCAGACTTGGTGCAGATCAAATGAATCTGCTGACACTCGCGACCATTTCCCATGAGGCTGCAGGATTCTTCCAGGATCTCCCAGGATTCTTTTTCAGAAGCTGCTCGATTGATCTCAGCCACAATCCACACAGTAGAACAACTTCCAACAACCTGGAGGGGAATACAGAAAATAATAACGGTTACGTTGTCAGTGTTCCACAATAATCAGCATTGCGTGTGGATAAATCACCTTTTTCCAGATTGTGTCTCTGGTCTTGTTACGGTCCCGGTTTCCAGGAAGATCCACAAGTGTGACGTGCTGGAGAAGACCCTTCTTCGGCCCCCTGACAGTCACACACTTCACCAGTGGCCAATAGCACTTCTTCACGTCTTTAGCATCTTCCTCTTTTGACTCACTTCCAGTGTATTTGACAAATTCTGCAGATAAGTCTTCAGCCTAAAATAAATAATAAAACAAGAGGCAATGCAAGGCCATTTCTTTTACCAACACACTCTCACTCCCTAAGCGTCCAGGAGCGACGCTTGGTCAGGGTCCCGAGGCGTGCAGTTGGGACGCGCCGAGGCTCCTTCAGCTTCATAAAGGGACGCAAATAGCTTTCAACTGATTGCAATGTATTCCCATCTGCGGCGGGATTTGACGCTCATGGAAGCACGGCATTCGTTTGTGTCGGCGGCATTTAAAGGCATTCCCATTGGATAACGGAGAATTGTACACCCGGAAGTAAGTATTCCCCTTACTGTCGATTGATTTGACAGTGATATCTCCACTACTCATCAACTCAAAAACACCAGATTATCCTTGTTAATTACACAACATTGATTGGTTTAAACTGTGTGCAATGCTTTTGTATTTTTCCCCTTCCATTCGGAGAAACAAATATTTTTTCGGAGTTTAGGATGGCAGAAGACACTACACTACCCAGAATCCCCAGCTATTGTTTAGGACTACACCATGTGCTCTGTTTGACAAACCCCGTGATTAGTTCTCAAGCTCTGTGATTGGTTGACCTCCAACTGCATTCCATATGAAAAAAAACGTTTCGTAAAAGATCAAATCATACTTTATTCAGCAGTGCTTGCTTTACTCTTTGAAAGTCATCACATGAATGTAATGTCATGAATGGTTTGGCTGCATTAAACATTTCACATCTGTCGTAGTTCTTTATTTATCTACAGAGATCGGGGTTGCGGTCGAATAGTCCATTTAGCTTAGGAACCTTCCTAACGGAGTGAAATGACCCGGAAGTCCCTCAGTGGCAGCCATGATAAGTGCCGTTCCAATTCTCTAAATTAAAAGGAAAGGAGGTTTCAAACTTCCTTTATAACCTCCTTTAGCTTAGGAACCACTGGACCTCCCTAACCGAAAGGAGAGGAGAAAATGCTGCCCCACAATGCCTTGCGGCCGCGGCATTTGCCGTCACACAACAGTCGGTCGTTCACGGAAACAACCGATTATGAACGAGAAATGATATCATGAAAGTTACGGTGCTTATTAAGCATTTTAAAACGTATGTGGTAAGTTGCCAAAGTGATTTGTTTTGAACGTTCATCAGTATTATAATCAAAAAGAGAAATATGAATGTTAGTTTTTACTGAAATGATCAAATAAAGTCAACATTTCACAGTCTTTACTGAGCTGTGTGGGGTTTGTTCAACTTTTAAAAGATGTTTGAATGGTGATATACACAGTGATAGATGTTAAGGACTAACGTTTATAATAAATACATTTGTATTGATTTTAAGATCTTTTCATAGTTCATACAATCATACGTATTGGGATCATTTGTATTAATGTGGACCGGAGGGAGAGGGTGACGAGCATAAGTTTCACTTTCCTTTTTTATTTCAATTCCAACTTTGGTCATGAAGAATATGTTTCTCTGTTGTACCCATTCATAAAGCATAACAGCATCAGAGCACGGTGCAGAGTCTCTAGATGAGTTTACAGTAGTCCCTCGTTCTTATTAAACATCCATGTTGTAGTCCGCTGTATAGAAAACTGTAGTTTCCATAGTTTCCCCACCGCAGCAGGCGCACATTTATGACCTCCGCTGGCGCATCATAAACACGTCGGATAGTGAAAGTGCAGTCGGATTCTCTAAAGTACCGCAGTCTCTTCTCCTAAATCCTTTTGAATTCTCCTATCCACTATCCCTTAACCCCATGACGTTTCATTCCGAGGTCAAGGAATAGACGATAGGGTTAGAATTTAGGAGCTGATTTTTTGGAGTATTCGACCGCGACCTCGCAGTCTCTTCTCCTAAATCCTTTTGAATTCTCCTATCCACTATCCCTTAACCCCATGACGTTTCACTCCGAGGTCAAGGAATAAACGATAGGGTTAGAATTTAGGAGCTGTTTTTTTGGAGTATTCGACCGCAACCCGGGACTCAGAAATAGACCGGAAACTATTCTATTTCTTCTGTTTTAATTTCACAATAAAGTTAGTAGTAATAATTTGTTTTGATATTATTGTTTTTTATTAACTACTAGACCGCTGGGTCATGTTGAGACCATCTTTTCTGTGTTGCTGTGGGTTTTTTACATCGCTTTTGTGTTACAAATATCAAAACAATAACAGAATATATCCGTCGTAAACTAAACCGGAAACAGCAGTATATTTTATTTTGTTAACACTGTAAACTTGACAGCTTTTTAACCCGCACCTCCTACTGGTTAAAGCACGTTATTACATGTTTAGAGTGATTGCAATGCAGGTAGATTGTGTTGCTTTTTAATGACTGTTTAAAATGCCTTTTTCTTAATGTATTTCATTTTTTTAAAGCACTTTGAATGTGTTATATTTTATGAAAACATTTAAATATTAAGAGTATATACAAAATAGGAGGAAAGTAGAAGGTCAATGATAGAAATAGTGCCGGATGTACAAAGATATTAATAGGAGTATGTGCAAAACAGACAAACTAATTAGGCTTTATTTAAACATTAAATAATACTTTAGGTTAAAGTCTTCTTTTAAATACATGTAAGCAAAAAGCTTTGGGGGTATCTACATTAAGCCTGACAAAGTACTTAACGTTTAATATATTGCATGGTTTGTTTTGGGACTTGACAATCAACTTTCCTGCAATGTTAACTATGTTGAAGCACTTATTTTAACCGATATTATACATATTTATTATACTCGTATAAGATGTATGTAGATAGTATAAGAAATGTGCAGAATATGACAGTTTAATGGTGGAGGTACACACATATTGATAGATCTCTTGTTGAGGGGGAGCAGTTTTTGTAGCAGTCGCATACAAGAATATCAGCAGAGCAGGGGTGAATGTTTCTTTGGATACAATGACAAATCGTGGTCCCTATTAATTTCGTTACAACAGTATCCTCACTCTCGTCTCAGGTCCTCTGTCCTCCAGAGTAGGAGTGTACCTGGATCACAGAGCAGGTGTTCTGTCCTTCTACAGCGTCTCTGAAACCATGACTCTCCTCCACAGAGTACAGACCACATTCACTCAGCCGCTACATGCTGGACTTTGGCTTTATTATATTGATGGAGACACTGCTGAGTTTTGTAAACTCAAATAGCCTAAAGTCATTGGAGGAACTCTTCTACTTCTTAAACTCACCGTGTGTCCATCAGAGCTGATTGTTCATGTCTACACTGTGCAGAGATCAGCTGTCAATCAAACATGATGGGTGGGGCTTGAACATCTTCTCATGAGTTGTTCTGTAGATGTTGGACTTTCTTCCGGCTCCTTCCTGGGTCTGTGTAGCCATGGAGGCTGTCACTGCTCAGGAGGATTTCTGTTAACCTCAACTGAGATTTCTCTGCATGAAAATGTAAACTTTGCTCTAAATATTTGTTGAATAGGTCTTTTAGTTTTGACTAAGTCTCAAAGTGTTGAATGCATTAATGAAAGTTTGAAAAAGGAAAGAAAACACATTAAAAGAAAAGTGATAAAAAAGAAAAGCTAACAGGTTGAGTTTGTTATAAATTGTGTTTCTATTTTCAAGATGTGAGATGAGTGCCACATTTACATGTCTGTAAATAAAATGTTGGAGTTTTTCTTGTTAATAAAGAGCTAAGAGGACGCAAGTGAAAATCTCATTATTTAGTTTTCAATCTTAAAATGAATGACCTCTCCTCTCCAGTGAAGCTGCACTAAGTTGAGATGAATTTTAAATGCATGTAGTTCTTTTTTTACTGCTACGTCCCCAATAAGCTCTAGGACAACAATGGATACAGTAACACACAACAACAAATAACATTGAGAGAGTCGGGGGGGAAGTGAACACAAGTGCATTTATTTACACCAAAGAATGGAGAGGAAGAAGCGTCTATGGAAGAGGGTTAGGAACATGTGGGAACATGTGAAACTTAAAGTCAGATAAAAATCACTTTGGTCAGACCTCAACTTTTTCTTTACTAGTGAAAGTCAGAATTCTGATAAAAAAATTAAACCTTTTTTTCAGATTTTCTTTTTTTTTTCAAGAAAATCTCAGAAATCAGATTTTTCTTCAAATATATTTTATTTATTTTCATGACAACCTTCAGAACTTTCTTCATAGATCTGAGATTTAAGTAAGAACTCTGATTTATTACTCAAAAGAAAAAATCAGTTTTGGTCAGATCCAAAAAGTGAATCCACATGTGGTCCTAATCCTCTTCTGTGTTTCAGAGTTCTGAGATTTGCATTACAATCAATTAAAACATGTATATATTCCTAGATCTCAGAGTAAAGTCAGAATTCAGAAAAGTTTCCTCTGAATAAAAGATCAAAGTCATTTCAATTTAAAATAAAATGTCCCCATGCGGCCCTCATCCTCTTTCTGACCCTCTTTTTCCCACGCTCTCTAAAGTTGAACTGAATCAAAGAAGGATTTTCTACACGTCGTAGCGCCGCAGTCAACAACTATGTCTGATTATCTCAAAGTGTGTAGGGTCCTTTCATCCAAGGTTTTAGAGAGAAGTGCATTAAAGATAGTTCAGTGTGTAATGACTTTTAAACATATATCATTTGAAGGGTTTTCTTCTTAGATAGTGAAGTGAAACCTGCAAGACAAAAGTCAAGATGGCATGAATTGTGATGCGTTTGATTTCTTTTCTAAGAGCCTCAAACGCCTCTTCCCAAAAGGCTTTGTTAAAAAAAGGGAACATGTACAGTATAATAGCGCTTATCATGTTTGAGTGATTAGGCTCAATGTTGGGACATAGCCACCAAAAGATAGGCTCTCAATGTTTCGAAATAATAATGATCCCTCCACCAAATGCAGATTCAAACTAAAGTAACAGGTTGGTTTTGAAAATGTAAGAAGTAGAAAGTACAGGATTTAGTGTTAAACATGTAAGGAGTTTCTCCTGTCAATCTGCTCTAAGACAATGAACAAATTACCCCCCGTTGCTAAGCAGAATCTTTTGATAACTAATGGTCATGGAAGAAGCTTAAGACCAGATTTTAGACCCTAGCAAAGAGCAGGTATTATCACAATGATCTATTTGACAGTGGAAGACTTACAACATTTGAATTACCATTTACAAAATACAGACTTCTAAAAATATTTACAGGTCAGACATTATGTGTATAAAAAATCCAATTCATTGGAAATCTCAAGAGACTCTCACCTACTAAAGAGGTTTTTCCTGGATCACAAAGAACTAAAACACTTTATATCCAAATTCAACTCGGAAATGTTCAATCTAAATGCAGACCAACTTGGAGGGTTGAGAACATCTTGGTGTACTCTGCTTAACTGTGTGATGCATGATGGTATCTGGGTTCATATCTTGAACCTTCCAACATTTCAATTTGGAACAGATACAAAGAGTTATAATATTCTCCTTATATCTATAGTAAGTATAAGACGGGGACCTCACAGAATTGTCCAATATGTGAGACTCATGTAGGGACTAGGCTGCATTGCAATGAAGGAATGCAGCAAAACTCAAGTATTTTGGAGGGCAACATGTGCAAACATCACTACAGCAATCTGTCAACAGGTGTCAGTGGAACCTCTATTGTGTCTGCTTGGATATGGCCCTCGTCCTCTAAAACAGTGGTTCCCAACCTTTTTCAGTCAGGCCCCCCTTGGGTGATTGGAAATATTTTCGAGCCCCCCCCTAACCCCGTTGCCACTTAGATTGTTTGAATTCATTGTATATAGTTGTACGAACATTACATTTTCTCTGCTAATAACGAGACAAAAATATATATCATTATATATTTTATTATGGATTGAACATGAACAGAAGTGCTTGTTTTGGCAGATGATCGTGTGCCACTGTGAAATAATGAGGCCTAATTGAAACAATTAGAAATACTGCTTATCGATCCGGTTCTTTAACAGTATTTTGATTTTTGTTATTTTTTCAAGGGAAGAATGAAATAAATTACCACTGCTCTAAAACATCAAGAGGATGTTGTTCAGTCTGAATGCTGGCCAAGAAAGCCATCATGGTGGAATGGGTCGGGGAGGACCCCCCCCCCCCCCCCTCCATGTGGAAGACACTGAGGTATTGAATCTGGAGATAATGTCTCTCTGTCTGGATGGAAGGTCGAATGTTTCCCTACAGAAGTGCTTTATTGAGCAGCAGAAAAGCACATGTTGCTGGCTTGAAGTCCGGGAAGAGAAGGGAAGAAGAGAAAAGAGGGCACACAGTAGGTATACAGTAGGTACAGTCAACATATGTGTCCGTGCGGAAACAATACCCCCAACCCGTAGTTCCATGAGTGAATTATGTAACAAGAGTAAATTAGTGATCACTACACAGTAACCTGTTTCATGGCGAGCATTGTGTTGCCATGGCAACGGCATTTGAAGAAATCTCAAAACTGTCTCGTAGATGTCTTCACGGCTGGACTGTTAGCACACATGTGAATTTTGAGCACTTTTTGAACATTTTCACAGGAGTTAAAGGGACATCATGTTTTATGGCGAGGGATGCGTTTCCATGGAAACAGCATATGGTGAGATTTCAGATTTGGCGGAGAGCAGTTGAGGCATGGACCGGTGTGGCAGAGAGAGAGAGAGAGAGAGAGAGAGAGAGAGAGAGAGAGAGAGAGAGAGAGAGAGAGAGAGAGAGAGGGTGAGAGAGTGTGTGTGAGTATGAAATGAACAGTTAGAACTGACTGCTGTCAGTTGGAGTGATGACATCATCGTGTTCCATTACACAGGTGTTTATAGTTGAGCTAACGAGCTATGAAGAGATCAAAGGTTTCATTGTTCTGAATGAGAGATAAACCTCTTACATGTGAACGTTTTGTGGAAGAACGATAAGAGATATCTGTGATATTTCAAAACGTGAAGCATGTCAAGGAAGTTGAGTATCTGAAGTGTAATTTTTGTGTACTTTCGGGTTAATAATGTGGCCTTTTTGGCAGTTTGACTAAAGGTGTGCGGCTGCTGCTGTGAGGAAATATCAGCCTGAAATTACAATGGGCTTTAATGGAGGCATGTTGAACGTTTTTGTCACTTCATGCCCTCAAGAGGCATTTTGTTTAATTATTTTTGCTTAATTATTTGTCCTTTTTCAAGCTACGAGATGTTTTCCTACGTTTCTCATGAACAATTATGTCTCAGGAATGTAGGGTTTGGGAATTATGGCAGTTTTAAAAAAATATATGAAGGCAAATTTCAAGATTTCCTACCCTCTAGCTGTGACATCACGCACTCTGCCTTAACGAGCTGCGCAATGTTAAAGTTCAAATGTTAAAAATGTGATGAATTATGGGATGTATCTCTGGAATTATGAAAGTTATGAATGATAAAAGTAATAGCCGTCGATTCCCGACCGAGCTGAACGTTTTGATGTTTGAACGGAGTTTCTGCGATGTTGAATGTGGGAGGAGAAGACGGACAAAATAACTGGATGGAATAATAAGAATTTTGTCCGTAGCATAACATATAGTGGGAATGTCACGCCCTGGCTCAAGGACGGACAAAAGAAGGAGACCACACATGGTCCATGTCCAATTAAAGTGCATTTATTTAAAGAAACTAAGTTAACTATGAAGTCAGTTAATCAGTAATGTGTGTAGTGTGTGGGTGTGTGAACATGCATCAGTATATAAAGCAAAAACAAACAAACCAAGGTCCAGTAGAGCCAAGCAACCCAAGAAGAGAGAGAGACTGACTGCTCAGGCACCCATACTTGTAGCTGAGCAGTCAACCAAAATCAGGTGTCAGCAATCTCTCCTGATTTGGGGAGTGGCTAACCAGGGACCTGAGTCTAATGGCGCGTTTCCACTACACGGCCTCGCTCGGCCCCGCTCGGTATGGCTGGGCCTCGTTAGGACTGGCTCACTTTATGGCGCATTTCCATTACAGTTTAGGAACTGGGGTAGTATCTATAGTAACGCAGTGTAGGCGGAGCCGTGATGTCATCTACAATGAGAACCCCAGAAAAACAACACAGCCGTTAGCTGTTAGCACTCAGAGCTCACAGCTCTTCATATATGTTCAGAAACTAGACAAAAGTTAAACAAGTACAAACCACAGACTGCCTGTGTCATGGTGAATACAGTCGCTGCTTTATTTATGTCTGTATAGGCCGTTGTTGTGTGTGTGGACGGTCGGAGCATATACTGCGTTAGCTTAGCCAATCTCCATTTAGAACACACGCATTTTAAAAGGTTTTTCCCCTGCCGTCTGTCTGCAGACTTGACAAAGCATTAATTCATGGTTTTTACTAACCGGTATCAGTATGTTGTTACTTCGGCATCATTTTGAAACGTGTATTACAATTAAATCACGGTCAAATATGTCAATCTTGTTGTAGTTGTAGCCCCCTTGCCAGCGATGCTCTCTCTAGTTTAGCATACTCAGCCCGACTCAGCCTCGTTGTCTCTGGCCCTAGACCCGCGATTTTATGAGGCCAGAAAAACGGTGTATTAGGACCCGCCGGCCGGTACTAGGCTAAGTGGAAACGCAACCAAAGACGGGCCGCTGACGTCACAGCCCTCTTAAACCGTGCTCCGCGCTGTAGTGGAAACGCGCCATAAGGCCTAGGGGCCGTCACAGCATTCCCACTAAATAATAAAGATCTATGCAGAAAGGAACAGACGGGAGGAGATCACCATCACTAGACTCAGACTGGATCATACAGGATTAAACGGAACAATGTTTTTAAAGGAAAAAGGTAGTGATGGCAAAATGAAGCTTTGAATGAAGCATCGAACCACTTGGACAATTGTGTCGGAAATAGGTTCATTTCTCGAAGCTTCAGTTACAGCGACCTCTCCTGGCGAAGTGCAAGGCTGCAGTGGGTTTAACGTATCTTTGCCTTGAAAAATATTCGATGCACACACACACTAAGACTGAATATCATGTTCTATTTGCAATTAAAGATTGATAATTGTGTGTATTGGGTAGAGACTAGAGAGTGCTGGAATTTTTTTTGGGCGGAGAGGGCCTTTTATCAGTTATTAAAGTATTAAAGTTGAAATGCAATGATTAAAAGCTCACCCATTCCGGGCTTTGAACCAGCTGCGCAGAGGACATCGCCGCATTTGGGCCAGCGGCTCTATCCACTGGGCTATCTATTACTTATGCTATTCAACTGTTTTTATATTAATCATAGTTTCTTTTTGTTCACAACTTCTCCGCATTTCGAAGTGTTTCCCGAGCCAGAACGACCTATCTTTCTTCCTGGCTTGCTCTATAATGACCCAATTAAAATGCAATACCAACAACAACTCAACAGCAACAACGTAAACTACGACAACAACCCACACATTGCTCATTGTTTAGAGCGGTTATAAAGTGTTGAAGAGCTCAAATTCGAAACTGTTAATAGAGACGAGGCAGTGCATTGAATCACCTGATTGGACGGCGAACCAGTGAGTTGATTCATTCAAGAAATGAAGCAGTTACTGGTTCGGACGTCACATGTCACGTGATTTGAAGCAGTTGCTGTTTCTGACGTCATATGTCACGTGATTTGAAGCAAGCTTCGAATCACTGCTTCTATGGGCCCGATGAGAGGTAGTGAAGGCAACACTTGTTCTGCACACCCGGACGGAGGAAACCAAACTGCGGCCGGAAGAAGGAAGTGAAGTTGGAGACGCGTGGCAGAAAGTTCACAGAGAATCGGAAATTCGGATACATACAGAAACGGTAGCATTGGACTGTTATTTTGGCGGATTTGCATAAACTGTACATTGAGTGTTTGATCATGTCAACCAGCTCAGATGGTAGCCAAAGAAACAATATGGAATGGATGATAGCCAAAGCTGCGAAGAAGAAAAGATCTTTGAGAGAAAGAGATAGTTCAGTAAGAGCTCGAAGTTGGTCGGATTGGTCGGGTGAAGCAGACGAGGCTAAGCAAAACAAAAAATCAAGAGTCAGTCAAAATGACAGCCAAGCAATGTTGAATAAAGAAATAGAACACGAGTGGAAAGTGGTAATAGAATTCAATCAGGATGGTGGGCATTACCACCCAATTAAACTTACCAAAGCAATTGAAAAAGAGATTGGAAAAATTAAATTTGCTAAATTCATGAACAATAAGCGGGTATTGATACATGCCAATAACAAACAGCAGCAGGAAAAGATTCTGGGAGAAAATGAAGGCGCATGTTCCAGGAGCAATGGCAAAACTGAGAGGAGTAATCTCAGGAGTACCATTGGACATGTCAATGGAAGATGTGAAAAGTGAATTAAAAGGAGGCAAAATAGTGGAAGTCACAAGGCTTAAAAGCAAACGGGATGGTACACTCAAAGAAACATTATCAGTTCTCATTCAGTTTGAGAGAATCTTACCTAAGGCAGTACAAATGGGATATTTGAACTTCATGGTTAGGGAGTACATCCCCAAACCTCTCAGGTGCTACGCATGTCAACGAATGGGGCACACAGCGCAGCAGTGTAAAGGACAGCTAAGGTGTGCGAGATGCGGAGGAAAACATGAGTATGGAAAATGTGAAAAGTATGCAAAGGTTAAATGTTGTAACTGCGGAGGAGATCACAGTGCTGCGTTTGGAGGTTGTGAAGTGCAGAGAGAGGCCAGAGAGGTGCAGAGAGTTAAGATTACAAACAAAGTTTCATACGCAGAAGCAATAAAGAAAGTAAGGGGAACAGTAACAATCAATAATACCCCTAGTGGAATGGAGCAGAGCATTACAATACAAAATGTCAGGAACACACCAAAAAGTAATCTTCAAATCCAACCCCACAGCGCCACCAAGAGTAAAGAGGATGATGATGTTTTAGGAGTGAAAAAGGTGAATTTTGTGGTATTTCTATGCCATACTGTAAATGTTGCATTGCAGTTAAAAGAGAAAAGTGATAGAATCAAAGCCATTGTGGAGGCAGCTGGAAAATTCCTTGACATGAAAGATATTAAAGCAGATCAGATACATGCAATGCTAACTATAAATGGAGCTGGGGAAAATCAGGATGAGGGTTAGATCCTTAATCATGGTGCTGCACATACTACAGTGGAACGCAAGAAGCCTCATAGCTAATGGTCAAGAATTCAAGAAATATATATATGATCTAGAGGTAGTCCCTGAGGTAATATGTGTGCAAGAAACCTGGTTACGACCTCAATTAGACTTTGTCATTCCAGGATTTAGCTGTATAAGGCATGATAGAGATAATAATCAAAATGGTGGAGGGTGTGCCACGTTTCTCAAAGATGGTGTGGCATATAGGGAGGTTATCTTGTTTCCTAGGGTTGCAGATTTCCACTATAATACACTCTATATCATCAGGAGATTGCACAATAAACATAGGAAGGAAGTTTGGTGTGGTGATTTCAATGCACACAACAGTCTATGGGGCAGCAACCATACAGACAGTAACGGAAATATAGTGGAAGAAATGCTGGAGGAAAGAACACTAGTATGCCTTAATGATGGACATGGCACAAGAGTAGATGTACACAGGGGGAAGGTTTCATGCCTGGATCTGACATTAGTGTCAAACTGTTTGGTTCATACATGCGAATGGTTTGTTTTGAATAACTCCACAGTAGGAAGTGACCATTATCCAGTGCTTACTAAAATGAATACTAATGTATATATACAGGAAGGAGGTGTAATAACCAGGTGGTGCTTTGCTAAAGCTGATTGGGGGAAATTTAGGATATGGTGTGAGGAGTCGGTACACCTGCTAACATCAGAGGGAAGCATAGAGGTCATTACAAGCCAAATAACGCAACATATTCTAAATGCAGCAGAGAACAGTATACCCAAAACAACAACCAAGGGTAGGAAGAAAGTGGTGCCATGGTGGAATGAGGAATGCAGCAGGGCTATTAAAGAGCGAAATAATGCATTTAGAGAATTAAAGAAAAACATGACACAAAATAATGTTATAGAGTTTCAAAGGAAAAGGGCAGCTGCTCGAAGGACAATCAAATACACAAAAAAAAGAACATGGAGAGAATTTTCTTCTACCATTGGCAGAGGAGTAAAATTAGGTGATGTCTGGTCCATGTTTAAGCGGATGAGTGGGAAAAGGAAATCCATTAAAATTCCAGCTTTGGTTGATGGGGAGAGGCTGGCAGTGACAGATAAAGAGAAGGCAGACATGTTAGGAAGGACACTTGCAGCAGTACATAGCGGGGAACATCTCAGTGATATTCATAGGCAGCAAAAACAGCAGTTACTAGCAGAGAATGAAAACGTGAAGGAGAAGAGACAGGATAATAGGTCAGCTCTTGATGTGGAATTTACAATGTCAGAACTCAAAATAGCCTTACAAGGTACAGGTTATACAGCCCCAGGACAAGACCAGCTATGTTATGCTATGTTTAGACAGTTGCCTATGGAAACTATGACAATGGTGCTGAGTCTTTTCAATAAAATCTGGAGAGAAGGAGATATGCCAAGTTTGTGGAAAACAGCAGTCGTGCTACCATTCAATAAGCCAGGGAAAGATACAGCTAACCCTAGTAACTACAGACCAATAGCTCTTACATCACACCTATGTAAATGGATGGAAAAGATCATTGTCCGTAGGCTCTCACATGTACTGGAGCAGAAAGGGCTGCTGAGTAGTTTTCAGAGCGGATTTCGTAAAGGGCGGTCCACAATAGATGCTTTAGTAAGAGTGAGTAATGATGTGGAAAAAACATTGAAAATGAAAGAGATAATGGCAATAGTGTACTTTGACATTGAAAAGGCGTATGACTGTATGTGGAGGGATGGGTTACTGATCAAATTGAGTAGAATGGGTATTGGAGGGAGAATGTACAATTGGGTAAGGGCCTTTTTAACAGACAGGACATTTAGAGTAAAGGTTGGAGCAGATATTTCCAACTATTTTGAAATAGAAAATGGTATCCCCCAAGGGAGTGCAGTCAGTCCAATATTATTTAACATCATGATCAATGATATATTTACATGTTTAGACACATGCATTCAATCGGCTCTATACGCAGATGATGGGGCTATTTGGATGAGGGGAAGACATGCCCCATACGTAATGGAGAATATAGCTAGAGCGATTAAAAAAGTGGAGAGGTGGTCATATAACTGGGGATTCAAAATGTCAGAAAGCAAGTCATGCTACATGGTATTCACAAACAAACGCAAGATTGATGGCCAACAGCTAACACTATATGATCGTCCAATGACAAAGGTGAATGAGTTCAAATACCTAGGACTGTGGTTTGATAGCAAATATACATGGAAAATGCATATTAAACAAGTGGAAACAAAATGCAAAAAAGTATTAAATGTATTGCGAGCTGTAGCTGGATGCAACTGGGGCGCAGACAAACAAGCATTAATAAACATTTACAGATCAATTATGAGGTCCACAATAGATTATGGTTGTATAGTGTATGGAGCAGCAGCAAAAACATCGCTTTTAAAAATTGATAGAATACAATATAAAGCATTGCGGTTGTGTATAGGAGCGATAAAGTCATCCCCTATCAATGCAGTTCTGATAGAAGCAGGAGAGACACCTCTGGAGATCAGAAGAGAGAAACTTGCTCTGTCATACTGGGTCAGGCTACAAGGAAGTGGAGAAGGAAATATTTCCAACAGAATATTACAGGATTGCTGGGAATATGCAAAATTCCAGGGACGTGGGTTTGGCTGGACGAGTAAGGAGAGAACGAGGGCATATGGAGTGGACAATATCACGTTTGCCAAAGCAACCCCATTTAGCAGCGTTCCCCCATGGCTTTTCCCAGAAGATAAAATAGATATGAGTATTGTAGAAAGGAAAAAAGAGTGGCAAGTAAATTAAGTGGGAATTAAAACAAGTATGTATCTGAATGAGAAGTATTACAATTGCCTACAAATTTACACAGATGGTTCTTAGAACAAGGAAGAGTGTGTTGGAGTTGGTGTATACATCCCAGAATTTAAAATATCTATTTCAAAAAGAGCGTCTGATCAATTATCAGTGGACACAGCAGAAATGCTGGCTGTAATAATAGGATTACAGTGGGTTGAAGAGGTCAGACCAGATAGGGTGGTGATGTGCACAGATTCATTGTCCATATTACAAAGCATACAATCAACAACAACTGCCAGAGAAGA